TCCCCAAAACATGTTTTATAGTTAGGTTTAAAAGAGATGTAAGCACCAATTTTATGTCCTGCCCCTACAATATGTTTCGCAATAAAGGAGCTAGGTCATCTGTCCTCACCGATAATGGGTTCTGAGCATTCTATTTACTTCCGAAGTCACCTAAGAATATGCTCTGAAGCCTTTTTTTGAAGAGATCGATGAGTCTTCCGTATGTATGTGTGTCTACAAGTCTATTCAACTTGGTAAGTACAGTGGGATGTGGCATCATTTTCCTCATGTTCTAAGCACTTAGGTGCATAAATGGGTTTCGCATCCTCAATTATTCTGATTTGAGCTTCATATAAAGTCTTTCCAACCGTAGCATATATTGTTTGTCGAGTAAACGAGCTGCTATGATAACCTATGTAGGGTAGCTTGATGCATGTGTCTTACTAAGTGGCGAATTGGAGAGTGTGTCCTGATGTTCTGACCACCTTATATCGGCTTATGAACTTCGCCAGATAATTGTTACCAACCATTGTTTGCGTCAACTTTCTTTCTTCCTCATTAAAAGTGTCTGTAGTGGATATACATTGGATTCCACTGAAGAGGCACCTTGCCAAAGCTCTTTTATACCAAACAGGGCAGAAAGTGTGACAATCAAGATACTGTCCTGTCCAGGTTGGTTGTCTATGAATAGATCGTTTTATTGATACATGAGGCTGTTGAGCAAGCAATACATCTAGGAATGATAAACAATTATCTTCCCCTTCTACAGACGTAAGTGATATGCTATTCCGAACTTCTTTCATTCGATTTAAAATTGAAGTGGCTGGTCATTCATGATTGTCCCAGTTTGTGAGTCCTCACCAATCATCACCCCCCATCAGGGTTCCAATGCAGTATCTACCATTTAAATCTGTGCGTCGATGATACAGTGGTTAGGACGCTCGCCAACCATGCACAATGTCCGGGGTTCGATCCCCGGCCGAAACACTCTTTACCTCGCTAAGCCAGAAATAATGCTAGTAGAGAGGAAAGGTTGGGCATGAGGCCAGTGACCTTATCCTGTAAAAAATAAAAACTGCTACAGAAACTTCAAGCCACTAGCTTAAAGCCCTATGTTCCACTGGGAACGTGAAGAAAAAATTATTATTATTTATTATTAAAACACAAACTCGCAGGCAATTAGGATAGTCGAACCTGACCCAGTGGCCAGTCCATGAATTGCAACTTCTGTGAATTCATGATGTTCAGCAGTGAGTGACCTGATTCAGGTAGGTAGTTAGTTACCTGGGATGGTCCTGGTGAGAAGTAGTGAACAGTGAGGTGTATATCTTCTATAAAGTGGTTCATTTTTCTATCTGTCTTCCAATAATCTTTCAATATACGACATATAGGTGTCTGCCCAAAGGGGTCCTAACGAACTCCCCCTAGCGACACCATCGACTTGACGGTATCAGTCGTCTTCAAATGTGGATCTAACTGTGCTAGAACAAAGAGGCGATAAATTCCTTAAGTAAGATATGAGGAATGAGATGAAAAAGTTATGTGGGGAAATGTAATCACAAGATATGTCAGTGGCTTAAAGTGGAGGCGCATAAGTGAATAAAGAGTTTACATGGAAAGAATACATATTTTTATTGATATTATTAATATCATCAAGATAATTGATCATTTCGAATTCATACTTACAGAAGTGTATTCTGACTGGGTGCAATAATTCGCCTAACCATGTAGCAAGTTTATGTGTTGGCTATCTGCACATTGACAAAACAGGAGGCAGAGGATGACTAGGTTTACGTATTTTCGGAGAAACATACATGTGTGGGAATTTACATTCAAATGTAATTTAATTTCAGATTTTCCCATCCATTGATAGGACCGAAGTGCTCGGTCTCAGGTTGACATATCGGCTTCTTGTGCAGATGCAGCGACAATGTCTGGGAATTGAATTAGTATTTAATTGGTGGATGGTGACTAGCAACTAGGATAACGAATTGCGCATCCTGGATTCGACTGCTAGTCACCATCCACCAATTAAATTTGATTTAGACGGTTATAAGGAGTCAGATATATCTTTACTTATAGCACTTAGTCCAAACAATTTCACCAGATTAGCTGTCACTGTGCCTTACAATAACTGAATATCTTCTGAAGATGGATCACAGCTGAATTCGCTTTCATCATCCGAAGTAGATAAAATTCTGGATTTGTAGTCACTTTTGTTCATGATGACAACTCCAGGACGTTTATCAGACTTCGTAATTGTCATATTAATGTTTTGCCGTAGCTGAGAAGTTAAAATGCTTTTCTCTTTTGGATTGTTGTTTGAAAACACGTATGTTACATCCAACATCTTGGCTTCAAACCAACCTCAATCTTCATTAGATGTTGCGTCAATAGGTTTGAAATTATTGTACAAGTCTTTTGAACTCAGCACGGATGGTTAAATCCGTAAATTGCATACGAGGAAGACAAAATTTAAGTCCAAGGGATAAGGCCACATTCTGATGAGTAGATAGAGTAACATGAGAAAGATATGTCACATATTTATCGGTATTCACCCGAAAGTACATTTTCTCACCTCTTAACGCTTTATTAATTTCATATATATTCATATGACAGGTCTGTGTGTGTGTGATCAGATTGTTCGAATTCAATATTATCATATCATTGACTTTGTTAGCCTGTAAAATAGGAAGATATGTGATTGAGTGAAACACCTCCTGTCTGTGAATTCATTTATTACTACCACATCTGGTATCGCCTCGAGGAAGAAAAATTCAAGAATCAACTGCCCGCTGTCTCTCTCTCTTCCTTCACCTAAGTATATGTCAATTTTCAACATGTCTACCATGTCATATCCATTCATGTGATTATAGTGTAGGTAAATAGATCCGGATCAGTTGGGTTATCAGAATAAATCATTTCACCGAGATATTGAATGGTTGATCCCTCCCACTAAGTTAGATAGTCTCGAGAAATAGCTTAGCCATTGCAATGCATACACTTGCATGTGACCACACAATGGTGTTGAAATGAGATGAAAAATATTAGACAGTCATAAATTGACTTGAAGAGGTTGGTTAATTACCGAATCTTTATTTGTTGTTGAGTAAACTGTTTTCGATTGAGACTTCTGTTAGAATGCTCTACTCTCATTCCACGTTAATCAGAGCCGAAAATATGCCAAAATGTGAATGGTGATTGATATAACAAGTTTCTCTTGCCATTAAAATGTACCCAGTTATAGAGGCTTGTCAGTCATCAATTATGTGATAGGTGTCTATTAATCCGTCTCCTTAGAGTGTTACCACTCTTAAGTGACACCTTTACATCAAGTAAACAGATAATACGGTCGTCTTCCATTTCAAGTTTGAAGTTCATCACCTGATCTTAGTTAATAAAGACACTTAAGATGTATGTATAAAGTCACAATTATTTTCCCTATCACAAATGATAAAAATATCCTCAATATGCGTATAATATACTTCATACACATCATAGTTCTGCAGCGGTTAGTTCAGATGACTTGTTCTTCTAAACTAGGCTCACAACAGGCTGCAAGAAGTGGATGCAAAGATGATTCTATAAGGATATCGATTTAAGTTGAATGGAAATTGTACATTCAGTGTGCTTCCAATGAATGCGATTGGTATTCAAGTATACAACGTTTATTTGAAGCTTTAATATTAGGTATAAAAATGGAAGAATTCGTACATATTACAGAGGTGCTCGATGGATACACATGTCTCCTAATAATTTCTGAGATGTCAGTTAATAAACCACCTGTAGCTTGAATGAAGTTTTGAGGCATAATCTGAATCGTCTGGAGTGTCAAGTTGGCCTGGTGTATTTTCGGTCGATCATAAAGTCGTAGTATATTAAGTCCTGTTGGTCTAATATTTTCGAAAAACACTTCGTAGAATGAGGGATTATTATTCAGACATTTTTAAACCACTGCCAGTTGTCTTCCAACTAGTCCATCTGTGTTGTCATTCAATAACAGGTATTGAGAATTGTTTGGTGTTCGAGTGGACATTTCACTTTGTGTTGACAAGTAAGAGGAGCTCAGTTTGTTATTCCTTTAAATTCATAACGTCTCATTCATGTTAAATATACACACTGATGTTCTTCCACATTTCAGGAATCCGATACAAATAGTCAACCAGCCAAAGTCACAAAATCTATGAACGACCTAACCAACGAATTGGGCGATATTTTAATAGATGACTTAAGACTTGATGGCGATTTCGACTGTGTGTCTAGTCATGGAATGACTCATGAATTCCTGTTGGTTCTCGACAAGAAGTTCATGCCTAAATTCAACGAGGGGGATCTACAATATCCTAAAAGGCCATGGGTACAGTTCTCTGCAACAGCCTCTGCTTATGTGTACAAGTCTGTTGGCCAGTGTGTGTCAGAACCATTGCGTGTATGGCTAAGCAATGCAGCGAGCGCTGCAATTCTCTACGGACTTCTAGGAGAGTTGGCCACACCAGGAACAGCAGGTACAGATGAAGGCACACGTCCTTCTGGAGAAGCGACAACTGAAAATTGATCACTCCCGGACATAAGTCTAGACGATAGTCAAGATGAATTGAATTTTTGATTTTCCCGTCGATTGATTGGACCGAAGTGCTCGGTCTCAGGTTGACATGTCGGCTTCTTGTGCAGATGCTTCGACGATGTCTGGGTATTTAATTAGTATATAATTGGTGGATGGTGGCTAGCAGTGGAATCCAGGATGCGCATTCCGTCCTATTTGGGACTCGTCATCTGGATGTACCTGCATTTCTCAGTGAGTGATGATGATGGGAACACCAATTAAATAGCCATACATCGTCGAAGCATCTGCACAAGAAGCCGACATGTCAACCTGAGACCGAGCACTTCGGTCCAATCAATCGATGGGAAAATCAAAAATTCAATTCATCTTGACTATCGTCTAGACTTATGTCCGGGAGTGATCAATTTTCAGTTGTCCCAAATAGGACGAAATGCGCATCCTGGATTCCACTGCTAGCCACCATCCACTGATAGTCAAGATGGTTATTGGTATTATGGTAGTTGGACAATGGTAACAAATAGTTCAGGGATGAGAATTGTGTTGAAAGCTGAGATGGCGAAAGCATGCATCTCAGTGATGATCGCCCCTCTTGTCAACTACTTTCAGGAGGGTGGCTACACACCAAGTGTATTGATGAAGGATAACTATGCATGGAGAATACTTCGAAGTGGTATAACGGAGAAATATGGTCTGACAGATGAATCTGACAAGAAGAAGGCGATGCTTGTCACTGGTCATTGGGTTTCGAAATCGGTTGTTTTCCATATGGCCACGAAACACCGACAACTTCGACATCCAATCCGACCTGTGAAGATAATTGGCTACGAGCAGTCTCTCAAAACACTGGATATCAGTAAATATTTCTTTTATGTACCAGTTGGTTTCACAAACACACGTATTGCCTACATGATCGCCAATAGGATGGTTCGATCCGTGTGCATTCCCCTCTTTGAAGATTTTTCTGAACTGATTGAATTACAACAGCTTTACTGTCAAATAATCAGTGATCCATTCCACTACCACATAGATGCTGAGTATCTGACTAATTCACCGAAGAAGAAAATTACTGACACATCGAAAAACCGGTTCAGTCGACTCACCACATATCTAAACATCTTCGAGCCGAGAAGTGAGCTACTGCTTTATCCCCAGTTGTGTGTAAATGGGAAAACCCGTGAGAAATACTACTTTGATTACAATGATCACTTGGAGAATACTCTGAGTGTGATATACACTGAGATCTATATGCCGAGTGGAAATCATTTACAGGATGTTCTGAAAGATGTCTGCAAGATTTCGGTTAAATTTCCACCGGAGGATAATATGCTGAAAGATTGTTGGGAGAAATATGTTGTCGACGAAAAGATTCAACAATCGATTCTCCATTATTATCAATCAAGATCCCCACGTGTACCTCGTTGAATTGAAGTTCCAATGTGGATGACGATACTCATATATGTTTGTAGTAACAACATATCAATTAAATATTTATCCTATGATGTCTAGTTTCTGCTTTTTTTAAATGACATGACAGTAGATTGTGGTGATAGAGTGTGAGAGTAGGTGAGTGAACAGGCGAGCGAGTGAGTGTATACTAGATTTCATCTTGTCATTTATTGATAGGCTAAGAATTGTATTTGACTTTCAAATCTGGACTATAATGTCGACGCTAACTATAGGTGATACTGCAAATAGTTGGACGTGTAATTATGTCCGCTGACTTTCAGTCACATTAGTCTGATATTGTGATTATGCGCTTGTGTGTTTTTCATTGTCGTTCACATAATCTGATGTGTGTCCATATACACTCCAGATGATGTGAATAGTCTTTGGTGTTGTGCCCACTGAGGAAAATCAGCATGATTGTAAGATACTCCTGTAGTTCAACTCAAATCTCTGAAATGTTTGAATGTCATCAAATACACTTGTATTCAATCAAAGTGTTATACGACTCCACAAATGACGCTTCAACACAATGTAACATGACATTTATGCGTATGCCTCTCTCCATATTATAATTTTATTCAATCATATGATGTTCGCGTGTGTGGTAGTTAAAATTTAACGGATGATTAAATGTGTATATTACCAGTGGTAAAGCACATCATATCATCGGTTGAGTATGGTCCTATCAGATATTTGATTTAGTTGGTTAATCAAATGCAGTTTGTGCGTAATAACCCGAGGTCATGCCAATGTGATATGAGTCAATAATGTTGCATGTTTCAGATTTCAATTTATATGCGGTGGCCGACTACGCAGTGTTTCTTATTGAAATAATAGAGAAGATTTGTAGCTCAGATGGATGATTCTGATTTGCGTGTGTTCTCTGAGCTGGTTGAGTTGATGGTGAAGTTTTCCTTCTCCTCCATCTTGACAACATCTTTAGGACAAGCTTAAATAGGAATTGAACAAGTTTGAAGTCTCCATTAATGATGACGCATTTGTATCTACTGAGCACCCCTGCCTTCATTAATTTGTTATTTTGCATCTACACTTTCGCCAATCTAATCAGTATCCGCGGTTGTCTATATGCATCGGGTATGAAAGATTACCTGTCGTGTCTGTTCACAGCTAATTTATGTTCTTGGATTCTTATCCACCCACTTTGACCAATCCTATTCAGTAGTGGATTGCCACAGTGTGTTCGAATGCTTCTAAGCAGTATCTGCACGTAGATTCTTCTATAAGTCATTAGGTTATTGCTCTCATAGTTGAGTCTTTGATTTCTGGATCGATTTTGCGTGTTCCTGAATTTCCCGTGTAAGTTCTCTTGACTTAAACATCTGAGAATGGAATTAAGTGGTTTGATTATTCTTCTTTTGCGAATTTATTGTCTCCAGGCATATTCCTGATTAATTTGTGGGTGCATCAGCATAACGTAGGCATATATATATATATATTATTTTTTAGATTTACAGCTTGATTCCACACTGTATTTTTGGTACAAGTATGGAATTTTCAGCATGGATATCGGTAGCCCAAATTTCGCAGGCCGACCATAGATATCAGGTGTGCGCCGGCGTGGGCTGGAACCCCGGACCATGTGCATGGTCGGCGAGAGTCCTAACCACTGTGCCACCAACGCACAGGGGTGGGGGGATCAATTCTGATCGTCGCATAACAGCTTCAGTGTGCGCTGAAGATGTTGACTAGAAAGACAATGAAAGCTTCGCAATTAAATCAACTAGCTCAGAGAACACAACCAAATCGAAATGTGTTTCTCATTGTTCCGTCTCTCTTACATAGAGCGAAACTGCAGTACGGAATGCTGAATGCTGTGAGGTGAATGAATCACAAGTTAATTTGGATGTCGATCCACCTGATCTCCATGTGAAAAACATGTTAACCGCTTTCTGTCATCTCACGATAACTTTAAATTTGTTAACGTGAGATATTGAGGTGTTCCGTCGTTAGGCAACCCGACTAAGGCACTTATGACTAGATGTCTACGTTAAGTGTCAATTTTCATGTATTGGTTTTGTAGGGATTTTGTTTGATTACATGGAGGATTTAATCATGAGCTGACATCAGTTAGAGAACCGCTGGGAAACCTGGGAGTACTGGACAGCAGTTTCCTCCGTCCTAGTTTGGGACTCCTCAGCAGTACGCACCCACCGGGATTCGAACCCAGGAACTTCTGGTTGCAAGGCGAGCTCGTAGACAACTGAGCCACTGGGACCCGATCCAATGGTTCTCGAATTCTAACTTCTGCCAATTCACGACATAGCGCGACCACTTTGCAATGTGTTCTTCGATGAGATAATGCCTTATCTTCGACCTGCTGTACCCTACTGGTCACGGCTTCCCACTAGAACCCCAGGTTAACTGCCTGAATGGGGCCAGTTGCTAGTGATCATCAGATTAATTTTCAAGCATTGGTTTTGTAGGGATTTTGTTTGATTACATGGAGTATGTCAGCTCATGATTAAATCCTCCATGTAAGTGTCAATTTTTACAATTCAGTATATCGTCGAATCATATGCAAATAAATACTAGTGAGTTAATGAGTCAACATTGTTGTTGAGTTACACATTCGTGTTGTGAAAATTCAACCATTGGATGGTGACAGTAGTCAACTACCTTAATAAGAATCTTCACATTTTTAAAAATTTAATATTTTTATTCCCTTGCTTTCCGAATGGAACCCTGGACTTTAACAACACATCTCCACTTTGTCTGGTTCTCTGCAGTCCTCTTCACCTGGTCACCCGATTACCCATACGCTTTCACTTACTACTCACACCATATCATAGAAGTGACCCTCGAACACACACACCCAATTCGTCGTTTCCTATTCAGGTTTAACTCGAGGGCATACCTGGAGAAAGATGTCACCCAACCGTCTCCTCAGAATATGTCCGATCCATTTCCATTTCCTTCGAAGTATTTGTTGACCAGTCGGTTCTTGATGCGTTCGTTCCCTAATCCTCTCTGGTTGGCCGTCTGATCTTCATTTTGGAGCCAGAGAAGTCACACATTGATAAAAGTCTGCAGTAGTCTGTTGGAAATGTTTTTTGTGACTCGCGTTGTTTTTGAACCAGATAAAATCACCGACTGAGTTGACATCGGTGTTGAAATTCTAAATCTTGTTGTTCATGCTGGCTGAGTGCAGAGGGTTTCCAAACTGATTCAAGAGTGAGCAATGGTGGTCAGTCTTGCATTTCCGATTCTGTTTTGGACACCATACTCCGTGTTGTTTTATGTAATTTGAATGATGCTACCTGAATGAGTAAAGGAGACAAACTCTGGTAAATCTCCCCCGCTGATGGTGATTGGGGCTGGTTGTTGTTGTTGTGATTCATTGGTTGTCTTCATCACCTCCGTCTTGTCTATGTTTACTTGAAGTTCTGTTTTCGTCGACTTCTTCTACAGCTTGTTTGTTGGTTTTCGCCTGCCTGTAAGTTCTCGAATTTGTCTGGATTTAGACATAAGTCACATACCCGAAGTCCAGATCTCCTAGAGTCTTCCTTTCGGTACAATAAAGTCCCCTCTTCTTTCTCCTCACAGTCTATTGTACGATCTAGTCCACTGTAGTCAACAAAAATCATTGGTGATACTAAACAGCCTTGTCTTACTCCTAACTTTATTTTGAAGGCTCCGCTGAATTTTCCTCTCCGGATCACTTGAAATCTAGCTTGTTATTTAGTTGGTATATGAGGCTGATAAATGTTTTTTTTTAGATTTACAGCTTGATTCCACACTGTATTTTTGGTACAAGCATGGAATTTTCAGCATGGATATCGGTAGCCCAAATTTCGCAGGCCAACCATAGATATCAGGTGTGCGCCGGCGTGGGCTGGAACCCCGGGCCATGTGCATGGTCGGCGAGAGTCCTAACCACTGTGCCACCAACGCACAGTGCTTCACTTCATAGTGTTGAATTAGTTTCACTTCACGATCAACTCTGTTGAAGGCCTTTTCGGAGTTGATGAAGTTGAGGTGGATATTCTATGGTCATTCTATACTCTGTTCGATGATAATGCATAGAGTTGCGATTACTTCCGCATGTGATTTGCTTTTCTTGAATCCAACTTGTTTCAGTTGGAGTTTCGTATCCATAGCCTCTTTTATGATCTTCAGGATGAAAAGACTCAGTATTGTACTTGACGTGGATATGAGTATTATTATTCTGTGCCAGCTCTGAGGTATACGGAAATCTGTGAAGAGATGTCATGCATTACTATTGGCAGTAAGTCATAGAAATCCTCCTGGCTTCACGTCTGCCCACATGCTTTCATCTCCTCTTCACATGGTCTCCTCCACGTCACCCCACCCGAACACTGACTACCAACTAGCCGCTTCCTATTTGAGTTTAACCCGAGGGCTTGTCTTGTGATATCACTTCATGGTTTCCTCGGAGTGTGACCTCCATTTCTTTCTGCTTATTTGTTGCACAATTGGTTCCTTCTGAGTCAGTTCGTTCACTGCCAAAGATCCCTGTTTCTGATCTTTTCTGAAGGCCATCTGATCTCGAGCGAAGTACTGAGCGAAACCAGCTGTTGATGAAGGTCTGTAGTTTGTCTGAGGTGTCAAGTCTCTGATTTATAAAGTAGCAATAATTTCACAGTTGAGTTGAGAGTCCGGATCTTATTTTTCATGCTGAGTGCTGTTCACCTCCACACTGACATGAGAGAAATGAAAGCTTGCCTTGATTTCGCAATCTTTGCTTTGCTATCCTCATCAGTTCTGTCCACCTGTGGTTGAAACGATGCTTCCCAGGTCGGTAGGTAGATAGTGTAGGTTGGTTCTTTCAGATTACTCCTATATACGCTGGCTGACTGTTGTCTGTTGTCGTTGCTGTGGCTGTAGATTTTGGCGAGGAATCTTCATCACCACGTCTGTTTTCTCTATGTTCACCTGATGGAAGTCCTATCTTCTCTGGATGCTTCTTCTGCTAACTTGTTGGATTTCATTTGCATATATTCCAGTCTGTGAAAAATCAGACAAATGTCATCATCAGCGA